ATCTGGTGAAAGCAGTGCTCAAAATCAAAACAAATCCCCTGCTGTATATTCTGAAAGAGAGTGATGGAAGAGCCAAAGAGAGACAACATTTGCATTTCAGCTCAGTCCTGGGAACCACAAGAATCATCTACCAGTCGATTACAGCTGCTGGTGGCTGCCAGACTTCACAGCTCCATTGAGGAAACTTTCTAGTATGGAGTTATTGTGAGGAGGTAACAAGCATGAAATGGACATTGCCAAGTCCTCATGTCATTCAGCATTGGATAAATCCAAGAAGATTTAGGGAAGAGTTGGAGAGAAGCTGTTTTAATTAATTCTCTTCCCAGCTGTGTGATAAGGCCATTGAAAAGATGCAGGGTAGAAGAAATGTCAGCTGCCATTATTATTGGCTGTGAAACTGATGTGTTATCTTTTTAACTGAGTAGAATTTGGGGTGCTTCTAAGCACTTTTTTGGCCTTTTTTTAAAACTACATGAAAAGATGAAGTTAATGCCAAGGGCATTTGAAACTTGGTTAATGTGTTTCTTTTTCAAAGAGTTTTCAGTCCTCTCCTACACAAATCCTTTGATACTATGTCTTCCTCATTCAAATATGTCTGTCTTTTTTTCTGCACCCCTCAGCTTCTCCCAAAGGAAAAAAAAAAAAAGTTAATAATGACCAACAAGATTCTCAATGCCTCAAAACATAAACTTGGTAAAACCATCTTAAACAAAACATTACCAGATGCATTTGAAAATATCAGCTCTTGTTCTCAGAGAAGTTCTTGTTCAATTAGGAAGTTTTCCTCAAATAAAGTGAAAAGGACTTAATCTCAGTATTGCAGCAATTTTATTCTTTGTTGCCTGACCCAGATTCTTTCAGCATTTCATCTGGCATTCATATGTGTTTTAACCATGACATTCATGGTTGCCTGTATCAACTCAGCAGCTAAGAAAAAGTAGAGTGCTGCTTGCCATGTACTTACATAGCATGTGCTGTGGACCCATTATCAGTTTAAAACAAAGATACAAACTGTAACAACAGAGATTATTTTCTACTCAAGCCAAATGTATGATTCCCCTTCTCACAGTTCATTCTAAACCCTTCCTTTGGACAACAGGCTCAGGACAAGTGGTTATGTTGTTAAGGATGACTGTCCAGTAGCACCAGACACCTCACTGTGAGCTGTGGTTTGCAGAGCCTACAAGGCCAATCAAACCTGACACAGCAGAGCATATTCCAAAATAATTTCCTCGTATTCACTGTCATTACATACATGTCACAGTGACTGGCTGAACTCCTGTGATTACTCTTTTGAGACTTGTTCATGTAATGAAACCTTACAGGGAACAATCCTTTATAATCCAAGGTTAGCAAACCATTACCAGAACCAAAGTTTCCTTCCTCTAGGAACTCACACAAGCAACACTATGCAAGTGACAATTACCCAAGTGTTGATACAGCTGGCTAACATTTACCTGTGCTGCCCTAAAGATCGTTTTCCCAGGGGAAGCCAAGCCAAAATAATCACTGCAGTGTGGAGCTGTAGATGCCAATTTGAGACACAGCGGAACACTGTACAAGGTAGCCCATCCCTTCTGCCAGCTGGGCTGTTGCTGCTGCAGCCACAACTCAGTTCTCTGAGCCAGATCTGTTACCACTGATGTGTTGGGATCTTTTCTCATTGCTTTTATTAGGAAGCAGGATTTCAACTTTAGCACACGTTTTCTAACGTTAGCTTTCTTTTTGATCCCTTCAGCTACCAACAGGAGGTCCACTGAAATTTCCTGCCCTCCAAAGACCATTTCTGAAGTAGAGTTATCAAAAAAGAAAAGCATTAAGAAGACTAAAGGTGGAATTAAGGTAGGATTACCTGTGATTTGGGGACACCCCATATTGTGAGAGAACTCAAACCCACATAAACATACATTTACATACTTGGAATTAAAAAGAATTAACATTTTAAGTTAACTCTCTGCTGTAGATTTTTTTATACTTCACATCACAGTTTGAAAGCTACTCAGATGATAGTGTTAAAAAAAGATTTATGCTCATGTACATGGAAAAACAAGTTACACTAAAGGAGAAAACACTTTCAAAGGACGAAAGGGAAGTGTGGAAGCAATGTTCAACAATAAGACATTAAAGTGTATCTGAAGTGCTCCTCCTTCCATATAGCATACAGACTATTTTGTTTCTAAAACTGTACTCTGATTCAGCTTTCCTCAAGTTAAGATGTGTTATGTTCAGGGTTTTAAAAAGCCATAGATTTTTTCCAATTGAAGTATTTTCTAAGATAGTTTCTATGAAAAGAAGTTAAAATGAAAAATTTAATACTTAGAAATCAACCAACCAAAAAACACAATGAAAAGTCCACTGTCACCTGCTGCATTACTGCTTCAACAGCAAGATTCTGTTTAGGATTCTTTGGACATCCTTATCCTTTCCTCTCTATTCCCAAGCCTGACAGCATGTAAGAATCCTGCCCTGACAGCAGAGAATCTTTGGTTTTAGCTGTAGACACTGACTGTGATAACAAGCTAGAATTTGGCCTTCCTTGAGTATTTTAAGGCTGGAAACAGAAGGATCCTTAAATTTCATATATCTATAATTCCTGAAACTATGATGAACTGCAGTTGCATCCTAAAATTTTCATTTGCCAAATCTAGCTGAAATAGCCACTTTCAGAGACCAGACAGGTTCTTTTCCTGCTGTCAAATGCAAGTAATACATCATTTGTCTTATTTAAAATGTTTAGGGTTAGACCATGTAAATATACCTGTGAGAGAGAAGAGGGACACCACTGAAGTTGTATTGTAAGTGGTCTATGCAGAGATGTAATACCTTTGCCTACATCCTCTTCAGTTTACTAAAAAGAAGAAATCAAATCATGCACAGTGCTGTTCACCCACAACCTTTTGAATAATTGCATCACTTTGCCCAAATTGTCTTGCATCTTCCCTGCATTAAGATTCATATTATTAACTCTTTAGGGCATTATATCATTAGAATGGTAAAAAAAATGCAATTTTAGGTATGTTTTGAGAAAGGGAAAAAAAAGGCGCTGAATGTGTTAAGGGAAATAATACACTGAATATTCAAAAAGAATAGCAAAAGAAGTAGGGTAGTATGAGGTATGATCTTGATTTGGATGCTTCAACAAAGTGTGATAGAAAGTAGCCTTTTTCATACTGTTCAGCATTTTGGGGCAGAAGAACAGGAAAGGAATCACAGAATGAGCTTTGTCAGTACATTTCTGGGGAAAATAAATACCTCAACCTAAAATAATTACATATCAGGAAATGAGATGACAACAACTGTAACTGCAGGGGCTGTTGGAACTTTTTCACAGTTCATTAGTTATTTTAAAGGCGATTTTTAAAGATGAGCTCTGTATGAGAACATATCCAATAACAGAGATCACATTTATAAATTCTCTGTGTCTTTTCCAGTTTAGTCCACTATTTTTGAAGGTATTTGTAGTTGCAAAACAAGCATTTTGGACTTTCTGATTTTAATGAGCAATTCACAGAACAAAACTCATACATTACCACTTCTTACACCAGTAACAGCCACACAAGGATGTGCTACTTCATTCTGAATATTAAAAATATGGTTTAATCCTGTTGGTGCAGAAATTCCACACAATCAGAACTCGTCGTTTGGGTTCATTTGGTTTTGGTTTGGATTGTTTGGGGTTTTTTCGGGGGGGAATATTTAGTGGGGAGAAGAATATCGTTACCCTGAGGCCTGAAAAGCTAAAAATATTTATAAAATGGCTAGCTGGCAAAATTCTATTATTTAACTTTTTATATAATACAAGCAACTTCAACCCAACTCTTGTTATCCATACCCCTGACTTGCTCATACATTTCATCTTTATTTCCCTAAAGCTGAAATCAAAAATTAATTCAGTCCCATTTTCTGAAATGGCCAAAACTGCTCACAACTTCATTAATAAGCACAGAATAAACCCCAGTTATCAGCAG